CTCTCTCCCTCTCTCGCTCTCTCTCAAGCTTTCCACTTTTTTGGGGACTTCCGAAGCTTCCACATGTCCGAAAAATCTACGCTGTGGAGTGTGCGAAAGTTCAGTACTGAAGCCCATCCTGAACTCAGGATGCTGATACATCTAGGTGCCGGCATAGGATCTGTCGAGCTTTGGGGGGGGGGTCTACGTACACGCATACGTGATCGCACATACATGATGCGGATAGGCCTACGCATGCGACCTGATCCCTTTTTCCCGAGGCCGGCCCAATGCCTTTTTCTGGAGCGCCCAGAAACCTGGAAGAGCAGGTGCTTGAGCGAGAGTGTGTTTCGACACCATGAAAACGGCTTGGGCATGCCTTTCTGCCTAGCAGTGGCTTGTGTCGCAGTCGAACGGGCCGCAGACGACAGAGCCGTTTCAAGGAACACCTTATCGTCTCGAGTGTTCGGCACTCAGGTGCCCTTGTGTCTCAGTTTGCTCCAGCACGTCTGCACTGAGGATGCATGCTGACTTCCCTGGCTCGGCTTGCCCCGGCCACAGGCCTGGGCCTAGCTGGCTTGTTGACGACCGCTGTTTGATAGAGCTAGCTGCCACTGACCTGTAGCCAGCGGGCAAAACCTGAGCGAACAAAACTCACAAAGTTGAAAGATGTCTCGAGACGAGTCGTTTCACCCTGGTCTTTCGGCGATGCAATGTTGCACCTATGCGATTCCAGTGTGTCAAAGCGCAGCTCTGAAATGTGCAGTCTTAGAGAAGCTTTCCGTGACAGTTCTTGGACTTTGTAGGCGTCCTCCGGTCTTTGCAGTGATGCAGGCGGCAGGGGCATCTGTTTCGTTGCCGGTGGTGCTGTGGTTCGAACTGTGTCAGAATTACAAGCATGGCAACCTCGAGCAGCAGAGCATCAGGCAATCGCAAGAGCATCTCACAGGCGGCAAGCCAGGACAGTATTGAAGCTGGAGTTTCCCACAAGCTCTAGGCTGTCACAACTTCGTCGAATCATGCCCGAGTAGGTTTCACGTACCTCTCAAAGCACATTCACATCCACCGCACTACGCACAGAGAGCAGTTCAATGGAGGTCTCAAAGGAGGCACCTCTGAATGATGTTGAGGTGGGACAGAGCAAGACCTCACAGCCTGTGCTTGAATCCGCTCCTGGCAGGCGAAGGGGATCTTCAGAGGGGCCCCTGTCATAATCAAGGGTCTGCAGAAGAAGCCTGAGTAAACTGAGCGGCAAAGAGACATCCAGCAATCGTTTGGCATTCATCAATCTTGCTGTTCTGTTGCAGCAGCTTTGGGAGTGTGTGTGTTTCTGTGTGTGACTAGGTATAACGGCAAGAAAGGCCTGGTCACGGGAGGGCCGTATGACAATGGCCGCTTTGAGGCAGGCCGAAACCTGGCCGTGGTCTACCAATCTCGCGTCGTCCAGACAGGTCACCATTCAGACCGGGAGCAACAGCGGCTACTCTGATGCCAAGGCGTGAAACATCGCTGTGCTGTGACAGCGCGCTGCAGTTGTGTCATGTCGTGCCGAGGTGCTGTCCTTGGGACCTTCCAATTTCCAGCTGGACTTGGATGCTTTACAGGATGCTCTGGGCATCACTCTCAACATCAGCTTCTTGTCTGACCATGTGCCGACACTCAGGAGTATGTCGTGCAGAAGCGAATAGAGAAGGCCCGCCGCGATCCTCCGCTAGAGGACTCTCCTTGGTTGGGGTTGGGTGATGTCGGCACCCGGAGATGAACCTGCTCTGCTTCAACATCCAATTCCAAAGCGCGTCCGCAGTAACGATCGTGAACGGCACTATGGCAGAGTGTGCCAGGTTTCCCCAATCAAACCAGAGCCTTCATTTTGCTTAGGCACACCTGCAGAATCCCCCTGCCAAGACCTTGGCCTTGCTTCGTGTACCGTCTTCAAAACCAGCGCCTTGCCCTGAACGCCCGCAGGATTTGGCAGCTCTCTGGACGAAAGGTAAAGGCTTATCTGCCAGAAGTCTTGCATGGACGAGGGGCAAGGCCGCCGGAGCTGCTCTTTGGGACCTGGGGCATAGGCGGGCAGACTTTTTTTTTGTGGTCCTCAGTGCTGTCTCTGCAGGCTCTGGCTCAAGACTGCCAGAGTCTTCATGTAGCGAAACGGCGCGGAGACTACAGAAGCATCGAGTGAAACTTAGGGATTGTTGGTTGCTGTTCAGCACTAAGCACCAGAGATGCAAGGCCGTTCATCACAGCACTTCAGCTGATGACTTTTGTTAGCAAAATGCTTTAGCGCCGAATCAATCCATCGAGTGTGATGCTGCGCAAGCTAAGCCTGCGCTTTCCGTGGACCCTTTGTCTCGGCCCTTTTTCATTGTTTTGTTTCAGCTACCTTTGCTGGACGGGCTCATGCGCACCATCGCCAGATAGTCCCAGGTCCGTGCGCCGGTTGAGCCAGGAAGGAAACACAGAGAGAACGCATGCAAGACGCCAAAGCGCGATATACAATCTGAGGGCAAGCCCCTTCTCGGGTCAGCTCCTCCCACGGCCATGGGAGGAGTCTGCCAGTGTCTCGGTAAAGTCAGATGCGCCAGAAGACAATTCTATACCGAAGGAGGACCTTCAGTTGGATGGGAGCGTTGAGCAAGGATGGTCAGGCTGGTTGGTGGCTGCCTTGGGTGTTGTAGGTGTGCTTTTCCCTTTGACATACTGCATCATTCCACACCTTCGCAAGCTGCTTTGCAAATCGGGATGCTTGGATCAGTCGTATCATGTCGTACCAGACTCGGAGATGATTGGGCATGCCTCAATCCATTCTGATGTGCCGGAGACGACAAGCTTGCCGCAGCCAGCAGCTACCGAATATTTCTTCATCGGGGAAGAGGCAGCCAATGCGACGATAGCAACGGCCCAGACGGAGTCAGAGCCAGAAGCTGAGTTGTACCCCGAGGAGTCCGAAGTCACCGAAGAGTCTGGTTGGTCCACACGACCTCGCAGCGACGGTGCATCATCGGAGGCACAAGAGGACCGGCAGGAGCGACCCCAAGAACGGCTTAGGTCTCCTCGCGAGCTTGGAGTGTCCTTCCAAGCTGCATCGGAGCCCATTCTTCCCGTGCCTTGCATCGTGGCAAAACCGTCGGAGCCTGTGACCAGCGGCAGGTCGAGTTCCCTGATGATGCTGTACGCCTCCCCACTCTGCCGAATTGACGCCACCCGTGGAGCTACCCCACTGCCAGCTCTCGATTTCGAACAAGAGTGGAGGAACCTAGTGACAGCTTCGGTGGAATCGCCCAACGGACCCTCGTTGACAGCTCGCCCGCTGACAGCAGCAAGCCTTCAACGCAGCCTATCGCACGGAATTGCAACTCGAAAAGACACCAACATCCTTCACCTATCTGCACACGGTACCCCACAGGGCTTGGTCCTTGAAGATGGAAAGGGGACCGCTCACCTCCTCAGCTGCGAGCTCGTGAAGGAGATGCTGTCGCTGCGCGCGGGGACAGCTCCCTTCCAGCTGGTAGTTCTCAACGCCTGTCAATCCCAAGCAGTTGGCAATGTCTTCGCTGACTCCGGTATTCCGCATGTGGTCTGTTCAGAGGACAATATCATGGATTCCTGGGTGAAGATCTTCATGCGTATGTTCTACACAGCAATCTTTTGTGGCAGCACAGTAGCCGCGGCCTTCGACGGTGCCGTCACTTCTCTACGATGCCAGCCTGGCATTCCGCAGGAGGCCCTCAATTTGTGCTGGCTTTGGAATTTTTTTCAGAGGGTTTGGCTCTGCCAGGCAAGCCGCAGCTTCTGCCTGCTTCCGCGAACCGGAGTCGGCAGCTGACAGTTGGTGCTATGCTGTCGACGTGCTGGGAAGTGCAGCGTTCCAGCTGAGGACCACGACAAAGTCATTTGTCCCACGAGGCCACAGCGCTCCCGGGAGTCGACATGCTTGCAGGGAGAGTGAGTGTGAGAGAGAGAGAGAGCGAGAGAGCACTCAGAGTACTCGTTTTTGCAAGCTCCGAAACCCTCCAGTCATGTAAATCCAGTCGACTGGAAGGGTGGCCGCACGAAAGCCTCAGACCAGGCCGGGGCCTGGCATTGCCCAAAGCCGTGCTTGCAATTAACCGGCTTGGGCGGAGGTTGCTGAGCACGCCGTTCGAGCAGTTCTTGTGCGGATCTCGGCTGGAGATCCACCCGGCCCGGCACAGGAATCGCAGTGAGACAAGGCCCGAACTTCCGGAAGACTTCACTGGGAGGACATTGGATGTTTGGCGGCTGGGCTGCGATACTGCAGGTCTTCATACTGCCATTCCACGATTGTGTTTTCTAGGTCCATCCTCCAGCACCTGGACAAGCGTCGCTTTGTCACAGTTTGCCACTTGCTTGGCCAGAACTCTTCACATCTCTTCATTCACCTGCATCCTGGCTAAGAGGAGTGTCGCCAGTGCCAAGGCAATCGGCATGCTGTACCAGGAATAGGTCCGCAGCTCAGTGAGCACTCGCAGTGATCCAGACTGCAACTGCTGTTTGACAGGAAGTTGAGATACATTGTACGTTGAGATTTCATTACTGCAGGCAAATCTGCGGTTCTCGATGCTGCCCTGGCCTCTGCCATGATTCCTTCGACGCATACACGTGCACAACTGCGTAAAGCTGTGTCAACCGAATCGAACTAGGCTGGTGTGACTTTCTCGTCCATGCGGTTGGTATACTGAAAATGTTCATGGTTGCTACACAGACAGCAGTGGTGTTGGCGATGGAGCTCTGCTGGTGCAACAGCCTTCAAGGAGATCCGGTCCGGATTGTAGATCTGTGTCTTCAGGCCACTTCAGGTGGTATCATTTCTGGCCCGGTGGGATGTTGCGGGTTCAAGCGGTGCCAGGGACATCCTGGGACCAGTGTGGAGGGATTCATGCGAAGCAAATTACTGCCCATTATACTGATTGTGTGCAACGCTGCCCATGCCAGTGCCCTCAGGGTCAAAAGGGCTTCAGATAGAGCTGTTGCATGGTCTAGTGCTCCGGCACATCCGAGGTTCATCGAGCATCTGCTTTGCACATGCAGATGCGATGCGTCAAAGTTCGAGTGGGTTCAGAAGTGGAGGCATCCTGCGATTGAAGTTTGAGCACCAGAAGAAGAGATTGGGAGATGTCTGGCCCAGGTAGAGCCACAAGCAACCGAAACTAACCATGGTCAGGATTGCATGTCCTGGATCTACAGTATTCGCTCAGCCGTTGCGAACTCAGAGCGCTTCCGGGCCACCTCTTATCGCATTTGCCACTCCCCAAGGTCCAGCTAGCATTGGCTGAGGAGGACTCCGCTCAGTTCGTCCTTTATGCGCAATGAGCAGTGGCAATGAACATTGCGAGCGGTCATTGGGAACTGGCGGGTCATGGTCTCATAGACTGGTTCATCCTCGGCAGTGTCGCGAGGACTGGCTTAGCTCGACCCGGAAGGGCGGCAGTTGCCAGTCGAGGCCAGCAGAGACGTTTCTCCTAACAGACACTGAGAGACAGCAATGTGCGAAAGTTGCGAAAGCTGAGGTTGACCTCTGCTTCAGTGACCCGTCCTCGCAAGTGTTTGCCCCGGAGGCCAGGGGACTCTCGCGAGGTCACAGGCTGAAGCAGAGACACAGCTCGGTGTCAGGCAGGCGAGGAAGACGCAGCTGGACTGCCCTGTCTCTAAGTTCGTCTTATGTGGGTGTCGTCCATGATGAAAGTAGAGAGTGAAGCCGAGAAGGAGTCCGAAGCGCCGACGTGGTCCAATGAGGAGCGTGGAACATCTTTGCTCGGTCGTTCTTGCTCCCTGAACTGAGGTTTCTGACATCTTGTGACCTTGCCAGGAGTTGCTCCAGACCTTGCTGCACGAGCTGAGCCTGCTTGCATCGAAATGGCAAAGGCGACTTGGACAGCATCGCTGCTTCGTGTGATCAGGCATTGTGCTCCAGGCAGATGGCGGGACAGTTTTAGTCGCGCTGCTTCGCCTCGACATCGTCTGACGCTAGGCGAAACACGGCCAGCGTGCAGACGGGGAGCACAAGCCGAGGCACATCCGGCTGTCGAAAAGTCGTTTCGCCTTTCAAACTGAGTACAGTTTTTAGATATTTCTCGCAGATCTCCTGCATCTAGCCGTTTGACGATCCTGTCCTCACAGGATCCAAGGTGCAGGCAGTGTCTGCCGGAGATGCGAGTCTCGCTCTCAGTTTTCGCAGACAAGAGAGACGCAACCATGATGTGAGAAGTCTCCCAGGCGGGCTCGGAATACTGCTCCTGATCCACGGCTGCGGGACTATCTTGGAGAGGCGGGGTAGAAACCGGGGCTTCAGTGGCGATTTGAGCTTCGGAGTTTGCATGGAGTTCCCGTCCCGTGTTGTCTTTCGTAGCCTCGCATGTGAAAAAGTTCTGTTTCCACACAAGTGAGCATGTGCTCCTGTTAGGGTTGGGAGTTGTTAGTACAAAGTGCAGGTGCCCGGACATGTTGAACATTCTCTCTGAGATCCTGCGCCATTGTCCGAACCTTCGGATAGTTGTGAGTTCTCAGCGCGGCACTTAATGCTCCCTCAGCCGTGCCACATGTCCTTGGAGTGTTGACACTGACAGTGCTCGCTCAGGTATCGACTGCTGGGGTCAGGATGCAGCCAGTTCAAGGCCTGCAAGCAGTCAACTCTCATAAGCACTCCCTCGGTGAGGCTCGTGTTAGCAACGCCAGTTGTAAGGATACGCACTTGCGAAACCTTTCCTTCAAAGATTACTCGCATTTGCAACAGGAATCGCACGGTGAGTCCCCCCTATGCATCGGAAGAGCCTGACCAGCATTGCGGCAGGTTGTGCACTACGAGCTTGAGGGCTTAAAGCCCGCGGTCTCTTAGCTGCACAATTGGACAATAAGCTTTGCTGCTAGGAATTGGAATATGTTGGAGCTTTCGTGAGAGCTCTCGAGCATCTCGAGGCTCTCTGTGTGGCACTGCCGTAGCATGCTACTTTGGTTTGTGGCAGATAACTTGCCAAGTCAAAAGGCAGCCAAGATCTCGCCCATGTCTTCTGGCCAGCCTCTGGGCAACCCTGCCAAGCTTAGGATGCGGCACGGTTGTTTCTTCGTCGTGCCCAGCGACCTCTGAGATGGAAAGAGGCACGAGTATCTCCCGCACTGATGAAGCGGAGCCATACAAAACCCAGCGGAAGACCATGCTGCGTGCAGGTGCTTGCTGGAACGGATGCAGAGCGCGAACTTTCTTCAGTTCTGCGGGCAAGCTTGTCGCATGCTGATACAATGCATTGGACTGGCATGCCCAACAAAAATGCTTAAGGGAGCTCATATGGGACGACAGTCGCTGTAGCAACGAAAAGCCGCGCTGGCAGCCTTCTGTTCACAGCAGTTTTTGTGTAGTCTCAATGCCAGGTGACAGACGATGCTCATGTCGTTCTGAACAAGGATAGTGAAAAAGAGGCACACCATTGCCAGCATTGAATGAAACTCACGTCTATCAGCGGCGACTCTTCGCCAATGCCAGGTCCTGGAATTAATAGCGTCGCATCCGGCTGTGGCGCGCTTGAAAGGCGCCCCTCAAGCTGCACCCTCAGACCGCCGCGCCGTCTACCGGCTGTGTCAATGCAGCTTGAAAGCGGAAGGCACTTATCGAGCTGGCTTGCCACATGGGGCATCGCACGCTGATCGATTTTGCAGCAGAAGGTGTGCACCTTAGTTCTGCGAATGGTGGAAGAGCCGCTGCTGCTAAGATACCTCTTCAACGGCATATATGTATATATACACACATGTATACATGTAAAAAAATATATATGCATGCTACGGTGTTACTTGTTTTCTGGGTCTCTGGATTCAGGCTTCTGGGTCTGTGTGCTTTCCCGGCATCATTTGGCTTCCATGGCACACCTCAGATGACTCATATTCGTAAGCATTCGCAATCTCTTTCTGCACTCTCCCCACATGACGCTCCTCAAGCTGACCGAACGACTGCTGAAGGGTGCTCCACGCATGTCGTGGCTGGGCATAAGTCGCTCTCGTCGCCAGAACCCTGCGACGTCGTCTGCTGAGCGGTCAGGTCTCCAGGCACCAATTCCTGGATCTGATGATGTTCCCACATGGCATTTGCGAACGACCATGGCCCCTAACCGGACCAAGACTAATCGGACCTCATGCCAGGCCAGGCCAAGCCAAGCCACGTCTATGATCATGAAATGTGGGACTCCGGACTGTCTTCTTACGAGGAAGAGGCCTGAGACAGCGTTTAAAGAGACACCTGGGCATTTCAGGTCATGACATTGCGGCCTGATGCGCCAGCCTTGGTGCACTCTTCGTGGCAAAGAGACGTCCGGACGGGTTGTCTTTTGTTGCTGCAAGCTGCTCTGGAAGCTGCTCTAAGGCTCGCAACGGTGAGTGTGCAAGCTCCGCTGCACTGCATCCGCCATGCGGACGAATTATTTTTGGGGGTTTCACCACGGCCAAGCCGTCGACACCACGGCATTCCATCCTGGGCCCTTACTCGTTTTTCTTGCTCTCAGCAGCGTCGGACAATCTTGCCCGTTTGTATATATCGGCAGGACACCACTACCTTTGCTTGCATCGTGCAGGTGTGGCCACTTCAAGCGTTGTCATGTACCGGTTTACTCGTAGAATATGCAGCAGCTGCTTCTGGCGTTGTGGGGACGAAGTCCGGTTTCAAGAAACAGGGCCGCTAGGCAGAAGCATCCTGCGCCGCTACAATAGGCTGTGTGGTTCCCTAGACGCGTGGACTGACAATTCGAAGTTTGCCACAGCAAGCATTGATGGTGTCTTTGACACAGACCAGGGAGCCAGGCAAAAAACATGATGTGAAGCTGGAAGAGCCGGTGCATCAGCTCTGAACCATTCAGCGCTGTCTTGACAGTTCAAGCTGCTTCTGTTTTGCAGGTACCGGATTTGGGGCAAGGTGAAGTGCTGCTTCGGGCTTGAGCCACAATGCACTTTCGAGTGAGACTATCGACAGCGAAATCATTGTCATGGTGGCCGAGGTAGACAAGTTTGCATTTAGCCACATGGCGTTGGGATACCTGATGAAAGGCCTTGCTTGCGGAGTAGCATGTGACCTTCACGTGGCTACTTTTGTGGACGGGCAGGCTTCACACGAACTTTTGGTGCGTATCACAACTTCTACAAATGCCAAGAGGCCATGTCATTGAGGTGATTTGTGGGACGTGCATGTGTCACAGCTGCGAAGCAAGGAGAATCTGTACCGCTCTGCCTGCTGGGGCTTCATGACAGTGATGGAGTCCACTCACCCGAAGGTTGGCCCACAGAGAGAACTTTCCCAGACTAGCCCATAACGGCTCTTGGGTAGTGAAGGCATGTTTGCGGCGTTGCCTTATTTTCTGAAATGCTCTACGCCTTCCTTGCCACCAGCCTCTGGCCTGCTCAAGGACAGAACGAGCAGCTGCAGATCACTTCAGATCATTGCAATACTCACTGCACACTAGAGCATGTTCAGCGCGCCAGTGCTATGTTTCGTCAGTTTTGTCAAGCCAAGCAGACAATCGCAACCGTTTCTGGCGCACGGGACAGCCTCAAGGGTTGAGCTGAAGGATTCGCAAGGGAAGGTTTGCCGCTTCGTGACATGGCCCCTGTGGGCCGTTGCTGATTCCGTGTTCCTTGCTACCGATGGCGGCGGACAAAGAGGCTGGGAGGAACACAGTGCATGGCTGCATGATCCTGTTGCTCATTTCGCCAATTCGTGAAGCTTCGACATTCGACATACCAGACTCAGACAGACCTGGCAGGGCATTGCTGCCAAGACTGTGGGAACGGCTGGCACCTTCTTCAAGGGACTGCCGCTGACTCACTCTCATGTTGTCCAACAGGTTCAGCTGACAGTAGTGCGAGCCCAGCGGTCAAGCATGGATGCTAGTCGATAAAGGTGTGTTGTCGGCGGGTCGGGAGTTGGGTGCCACCACCTTTGCATAAGACAACTTAAGACACTTGGGAGGCCACTGGTACGGGCTTAAAGTGCTAGTCCGAGAATCAAAGCATCATACCAAGCAGAGCAAACTGCAAGGCGAAGGCGGAGAGAGAGAGAGTCATCGTTGGTGCAAAGCTGATACCTTGATGCCACCTCAGGCAAGGCAACACTTCGCACAGAGGAGCTATACAGGACTCCTTGCAGAATCCAGTCTTGTGATGACATGTGCCAGCCGCTCCAGCAGCGGAGTGCAGGCCACTATGCCGATGCAGCTGGAAGCAGTTCTGGCGAAGCGGGAGAAAGCCGAGAAGGAGCACAAACCTGCCCGGCCACCAAACGTGCTTGTTGACGGAGTGTATGTCAGAGGCTGGGCCGCCGAAACTGGATGTATATACACTTGCTGCACCTGATTGCTGAAAAGCCTAGGTGTGTTTCAACCATCCTTTTTACAGCTCAGTTCGGCTTGCATCGAGCTCAACTGAAGCGATTTCAAACATCCTTCGCCATCTTGAGCAATTGCAAGACTTTGGAATCTCTGTCTCATGTGGGAACTTGTAGTCACCCCGCCTTCAGTCAAGGGTCCGCGGATCCCAAGCAGAAGCCGGTGCTTCGACATGTGATCGTGAAGGATCTCAACAAGGCCCCCGCAGAGATTCAGCTGCGCCGCTACGCTCGGCGGGACTGCACATGCAGCAAGATGTTGAGAGCTCTGAAGGTCGCGGCGCAGCTCAAGTACGAGGTTCCAACGACGGGTCTTTTCGAGAGGAAGCTTGGCTGCATTTGGCTGCATGAGACTCGATCTTGCAATTTGCCTTCGGTGCTTCTTGACACGTCGCTGCGCGGCAGGAAGCCACCCATGGGCTTGTACTGCGTGTTCGACGGCCTCTCCAGAGCCGGAGTTGGAGTTGCTGGACCTGCGTCCGCTGAGCTCCTCTCTGGCACTTGCCCGACACCCACGATATTGAAGTTGCAAGCAGTTTTCCTTGTTTCAGAGGAAGTGCAGGCGACTGTGCCAGCCAACCATTGCCAACCCATCAAGCCAGCCACGCTCGCGGCCAGACCAGCACACGGTTGCTAAGCCTCAGGACTCAGGTACAGTCATGGCTGCCCTCCTCCGGGGTCCATCGCTGGAGCAAGGATGGCCACGTGATGCCATGCCGTTAAATTTGCAGAACAGATTTCCTCTGAGGTTCTGCGCACTGAACTTCCACATAGCGCTTCTGAACTCGCTATCGGAGTTGAGGCCCGCACCCGCGACGCGAGCGAGTTTCCGTGTCGCCGTGCCAACGCCTGCTCATTTAGAAAGAAGCCTTTTGTGAGGGCTGGCACGCCATCTGCGGCGTCTGTTCAGACTGTGGCAGCCTCGGATGCATCATGACGAACGCCTTAGAGGAATGTCAAAGACACACCATGGCACGATCAGTTTGCTTAGGCGGTGGCAAAAAGCTTGGAAACTCTGGATCAAGAGCTCCTGATAAGGCTATCGCTCTGGGAGCAACAAGCTTGGTGTTGGGTCGCAGTCTTGTGGTGACAGGAACCCGGAGATTGCCGACGGATGTGGTGCTGCAGTGGCACTGCTCGTGGGGGACCGGAGTGAGGGGAGACGACAAAGCTGTAACTTTGACGTCGGTGGTCTCTGAACATGCTTCAGGATCATCTCTTTGTCGCCTTCATGGGGCGCTGTACAGCGGTGCTGTGTGAGGTTGGGACCCCGTAGAATGCCTTAACCTGATTCAAGTCTGACATGACAGTGCGCAGGTCGCCACCTAGGCATCCAAGGAACGCAGTGTTTTCGGGTTTGTGCAGAAGTACACAGGGGCCTGCAAGCCCCCCTCAACGTCTTTTTACTTGATCGGCGCCACCGGGCCGTCGGCACGAATCTCAAGATCTTCCGGGTGGGCACTGAGCGGAAATTTGGGTCTGGCTGGGTCAGATGCCTGAATCACGTCACGTATACTGCAGGTTGGACTTATGCCTGTGAGCTAATGGCAGTGAACCAAGCCTTGCTTGTGGCTTTCCGGACTTCTGCGCAGTTTGCCTCGCGTGGTATGGCCGCAGGTCACTGATGACGGCAAACGGGTGGCAGTGAGGCTTGGGAAAGGCCGAGCCCCGCTGACGTCTCGAATCGTCTGAAATCGCCAAGAGTTGGAATCTGCCAGGAGCCAGAGCCGGTGGTGTGGGAGGAGCTGTGGTGACATCTTCTCCAGATGTCATGCTCCTGAATGAGTGATCGCCGAAACACATTGCAGAATCCTCGCAAAGGAGCCTCAAGACTAGATCCAAGGGCATTGCGTGCATGATTGTGTATGCATGTGTTGTCGGACACCAGTGAGCGCATTCTCCTTGCGTGTAATCACGAAGATCTGACATGCTGCGAGCTCTGTGATTGCAAGCAATGAGGTGCAGACGGTGTACTTGGGGAGCCCCGAACGACATCCGTGGCTTGATTGCAGTGCAGTGAGGGGTTATGGCCGGTAGCTGAAACGCAATGACGTTGCTTGAGGCTTTGAGAGCAGTGAGCTTTGAGTTTGAGTGAAGCACACCAATGCCACGTCCAAGGTTTCTGGTGTTGTCATCTTCGGCGATTCCCTTGAAAGCTGCAGAACTACTTGCTCTCGCAGAGGACTTTTCGGTGCAGACCGGGACTTAGTGGGATTCGGCGTGCACTGATGAGTTTCTCGCCATATCTCGCTTGCTTGAGGCCGCGGGCCTTTTGCGGGGAGGTTGCCTCGCGTGCCTCAGAATTGGCGAAGTCGCCATGCACGGCAGTGCAGGTGGAAGAGCCCCAAAGCTCAGATCCGCCTTCAGACCATTTGTTTGTGTGAGCCTCTGGCACCCAACTTTGCAGGTGAACTTCCTGCCGGAGCCCTCCCTGCAGGCTGAGGCACAGGTAGAACACAAGAGATGACTTCGCGGGAGCTTTGGAGAATCTCGCGGTGCAGGGACAGCCCCCAGCCAAAAAGGCGAAGGTTGGCCCCGGGCCTTCAGGAGTGGCCTCTGAGCTCATATTAGTCAAAGCCCGCAAGCTCAGAGTTCGGCTTGCGGCTTGCAGTGGGAAGCAGCCGTTACGCTCGGGGGAGCTTCATGCAGAGCAGAGCCCAGGCCACGCAGAGTATGCGGCTCAGGCATATCCTGGCCACGCACCTACGCACTCATTCTTTTCTTGTTTTTCGGTGTCTCTGGGCGTTGGCCTTTCCTGACGAAGAAAACAAGAAAATAAGTTGCCGATTCGTGAGACCACCTTTGCTGTAAAGATGTTAGACCAACAGCGTGGAAGCCGCTTGCAGTCAGATACGTACGTGTGCTTCCTCTCCGCTTCTCTCCTCTCACTATTCCATTTCCGTTTTCTTTTAGGTGAAGTTCCATGAAGGCACCAAGCCGGCCGAGGATCCCAAGGCCACAGAGCAACCATCGCGAGAGCGATCGTGCTTTGTGTGGATTCCACTCTCTTTCCGTCTCAAGGCCCCTTGGGCCTCCCGGACGAGGGCAGAGGCGGAGCGCCTCCTTCGCGGCGCAATTTCGGAAATACGGCAGGATCGGCCGCTTTCTTGGTACCGCTGTGGTGTTTTCCGGGCACGAGGGCATCGTCCTGCCCTTGAGCGCACAGCCAAGGAAGTCCTGGACAAAGACACCTAAAGATGCTCAGACCTCAAGTGTTTTTGATGTGGAGAGGAGGTGCATACGTTCAGTGCCATGAGAGTGTCGTGGCTGTTGATTGACTGCGTGCACGGAACGAGCTTCTCTGGAAATTGTGCAGCTCAGGTGACGGAGCTCATATCATTGAGCTCCAAGAAGTTCATAGAGCTTTGCCGAAAGCTCTCCGACTGTGAAACTGCGCAGAAGGCCAGCGACAACCAGCCGCGATGCTGCTCTGAGCTTCTGTTTTTCGTGCCGCTTCGCCAGGGGGCTCTGGCTTGTGGTGACCTCGGCTGGGTCGCTCCAGAGGCGTGGGCTTGTCGGCTCTGTCCTCTCTGGGTTTACATCGGGTTAATCGGGTGTGTGGTTCTCTCGATCGCGACTTCGCACCAAGCTCAGCTGGTGTAGCTGGGGCCTGGAGCCTGCACGCTGAACTGCCGCCTTACAAGGCTCGGGCTGCCATGAGCGAGCACTTCAAGGAGGCTTGTATCTCGCTACTATGTCGATGGTTGACGCTTTGGCCTGTAACGTCATGCTACCGTTCTCATGTCCAGGTGTGCGACATCCTGCAGCCCGGTCAGTGGAGTGACATCGTAGCCTCACACCAAGGTTTGCACTTGGTGCAGCGAGTCGCATGAATCTGGATTCAGCAATCAACCGACGAGTTGCACTGCTGTGTGTTGTGTCGGCTCGCTGCATCGAGCAGCTCGATAATGTCTAACCTGCGAATGTGAAATTCGCAGCGAGGCCAGACTGGAACCGGCTGAGAGGTTGTTAAAACAGCTCGTGTGTTCAATGTCATAGGCCCATGTCGCCAGTATCAGTATCCTTAGCAGCCAGGCATGTGGCTTTCTGCAATCCTTGCGTGGTGGTCAGGTGGCTGTTGGAACGAGGCTCTACGGCCTCGTGCCGCCGGCAAGGCGCCTGCGACGATCTGAAGAGCCTAGAAGGGATTAGAAGGGACTGCAAGAAGCGACGGAAGGTACCAGGTGCAGCCCGTCGGCCTGAGCCTCGGAAGCGGCGTTTCGGCTTTTGCGTGCACAATTCCGACTTCTCGCAGAGGTGGCACGATCCCAGCGGGAAAGAAAGGAGAGCCTGCGATGGCACGCGACCCAACCTTACCCAGCCGCAGCGGACGTAGGAGACAAGTCAGCCAGGTGGAACTTGCCATGGAGGAGATACCCTTCAACCTGCGGCGCTTCCAGGAAATGGAGGCGCAAGAAATTGTGTTCGGCTGATTCTGCGCTCTGCTGTCTTGCTAGCGGTTGTCCTGTGCTGTTTGCTGCATATGACTCGATCGAGGTTGCTGAAGGCCTAGAGCCCCACCTGGAGGAGCCCTCCACGAGTGCGCTGTGTTTCTGCTTTTGTGTTGGATCGCGAACAGAGGACTGGATCGTGGCGACCAAGGCAAGGGCCTGCTTCTCCTGGAGTTTGGATCCTCATCTTGTGGCTCGCAGGAAATCTACACTATGGCGTATTATATGGACGAGCAGCTCTTGGTGGATACTGGGCCCCTCGCATTCACAGCCAGCTGAGTCCGGTACATGCCCGGTGTGACGTTGGTCTGAGGATGATCAGCTGCGTGCTGATCTCCTGCGCCTCTGCGAAGACCGCACTCGCTTTGGCCTTCTGTCTTCGGATGAGAGACATGAGGCGACTGCGACTTCCTTCACGATGCCTTTTCACTTTGAACGAGTGGTGGTCAAATCCGTCAGTATGGAGGTATGTCTTCGGGCTGACTTCCAAGGACCCTGCTTATTCCTTTGAGGCCATGGCTGCAGACTGATACTTAGCTACCCGAGGAGCATCTCGAGTTTACGCGATCCACGGATCTCTACCACGAGGTGCGTCGCCCCACAGTTGCGTAGCCCGTCTTGGCAAAGCCGCGAACGAAGCTCCAATTTGGTGCAGGTCTTTACATACGAGGATGTGGATTCACTTCCAAACACTCACACCGTGGCCGCGCTCTGGGCAAGCCGAGCACACGTGTTTGCACGCTTCATGCATGCAGGTGTACATGGACTTCAAGTGCGACGGCGAGCTCCGCCAACAAATTACACTCAGGTGATGCATCGGGCTTCAAACGAAGAGTGTTGTGGTTTCCAAGAGCTTGCAGGATGGGAACGAATCTGATGTACAACATGGCCCTTGCCTGTGGCGCATCTCTCGCTTGCATGAAGATTGGAGCATCATCGGGTCTATGAGGTGATCGGTCCAGCTGTCTTCCAGAAGAAGATGAAGGCACAGCAGTGACTTTCGCTAGCTTTCCAGCTCATTGGCCATTTGGTTTTCTGCCCATCCGAATCAGAGCAGGATCAAGTCTTTGAGAAGCGTGCGCGGGAAGTTCTCTTCGACGAATCTTCCTGGCGCGAGAGACGCCGCATGGTGGCCGAGGCCCGGCGGATCGGCGAATGCTAAGCACTCGTAGATTCTGACTATCCAGTGCCCTACAGTCTCCGGTGTATCTATCTGAGTCTAGGTGGCATGATTGATGGCGTTGAGTTCTAGCTGGAGCTATGTTTTGCTAATTCGTATGAGTTGAATTCAATGTCTGGTCTCAGACTCTGTGGCAGTCAGCCGTTATGGAGATGCGCGATGCAGGTCACGAAGACTGGACGGAATGAGAAACTCAAGCACTCCTACCAGGCATCGCACTAGCAATGCTGGCACTTCTTCTGTGTTCTGATTCCGATGCTGAAGGCCTTTATTGACCGCATGAAGAAGCTCATTGCAGTAGCCTGCACAGAATCCGATGTGCTTGGCTGTCTTGCTTGATTCTCTCAAGAGCCAAGAGCGCACGCGAGGTAGTAGGTCCTTTGACTGTTGCTCCTTAGGGTTTGATAATGCGCATGCACCAGTGCTCGGCTGTATCCGCCGCACATCTGCTTTCAGCATCTGCCTTCCCAGGTCAAGCATGTCAATAGTGTGGATGGATTCGCGGCTATGTATGACAGCCTGTACAGCAATGCTGCTTGCTGGCACTGGACTAGATCTGGATTGCTCTTGGTAGGGCAACGTCGCCTTCAAGAGATGTATGAAGTGATTAGATGCACGTCTCAGCTGGGCCATGTTCTTAGAGCACTTTCCTGACAGAGTGTGCGAGGGTGGTAGGCATGATGCGGTCTCCGCGTCCGTTTTCTGCATTGGGTGGCGAAGCAAAAGCCAAAGTTGGGACCAGAGCACTCAGCCACGACTCGGCTCCAAGCTCCCTCGAACACTCGGTGAAAAGGAGGGGAGTTTCAGAGCAGCGTTGTCCCAGGCCGCTTCTCCCTCGGACGTGCACGTGGGTGCCCGAGATTCCCAAAGGACTCAGGGACTCTCCGCTTTGCTTCTCTTGGCACAGGAGAGCAGAGGACAAGGACGAAATAAAGTACTGTAGAACAAGACGTTGCCCAGAGCGCAAGGTCTGCTGCTTCCATGAAGATGCGGTGGTTGACGAGATTTGGAAGGAATAGCGTTTAGAAAAGAGCGAGCACTGTTGTGATTCCAATTGATGTGTCCAGGCAACTGCAGTTGTCGTCCTGTCTTCAGTCTCAAGCCTAAAGGCCTAAAGCATGCACTGTTAATGTGCCGTGAAGATGCCAAGTTTTTTGTCCCTGCCATGCTCACAAACTCACGCAGTGGCACACTGTGGCCACGCCAGAGCTCACTTTTCTGCCGAAGTCCCTGCTTTTTCAAGGGGCTGGAGCATACCTTGTGGAGCGATCGCGGTTTACGCAAGCTGCGCTCCGAGACCTGCAGGGAGTCTTCGACGCAAGTACCGAGGCACTCGAATGCGAGTACGTACCCAGGCAGAGAAGCAGCCGCTTCCTTCTCTTTCCATGTCTACTCTCCACCAGCCACTCGATGCAAACCACGAGGATTTGCTGGAATGGTTGGTAAGGGCCTTCGACGAGGCGAACGTTGAATTCTTCGGTGGAGCCCTCGAGGCGAAGGTGCACTTGGACGAGACCTGGCACCATCGTGGTGGTGCCGGTGGGGCGCATCCAAGCACTAAGAGGATTGTCTTGGATCCGCTGGTCCACTTCACAAGGCGTGACCTTTGCGCCACCATGCTACACGAGATGTTGCATCTGCGCATCGGAGCAGCCGGCATAGATGCTGATGCTGAAGAACACAGTGATGAGTTTGTCTTGCAGTGTTTGAAATTGAATTTGGACATCCTGGCCTCTGGACTTCCCTGCTTCTGCCGCTTAGGCGAGCACGACACCGCGCTGGATCAAGAAGTGCTTGCCCAGGCTGTTAATGAGGAGCTGTCGGAGGCAGACCTTCTCTCTCTTTGCCGTTGTCTCTCCAAGACATCCCAGGGAGTCTCCTGCTGGGACACGGACCTGCTCGTGGGAGATCTGCGGCGCTGCCTTCAAACAGACGAAGCCGACAAAATCGCTGGCAGATTGCAAAATCTGGCAACTGCGAGGTCATGCCGCCTGGCTCTGCGAGGCGGATATGACAGCTGGTGCATCAGAAGCAGAACGATGTCACGGTATTGTGCTACGAAGAGAGGCAGAGATTACCAGCTATTTTCTGCTTACGCTGAAGCCTGGTCTCTGTAGCTCTATCGGTCAATGACCAGCTGAACCGACAGCACAGGAATGCTGCAAAGACCGTACAGCCTTTGAGCAACATGTGCCTGAAGTGCGCGGCACAGCCGCGCAGTCGTTGCAACCGCCCACGTCTGACTTCGTTGTGGGACTCGACTCGGGAAATGTGGGCGGACAAGCAGGAGAAATGAACTGATCGCCGGTGGAGCAAGCAATGAGGGTGGCTCCAGTGCGTCGTCATACCCGTTCTTGCCCAATTCCAGACACGGATGACTCAAATCCCTTCCCGTTTACGACGGTTACGATGTTCGTGCTGGTCCGCAATGCAAATCTAAGAAGCAGCGCGGTTCTTTGATCACAAATCTCTATGGTGCAAAGCTCATGAAAGCTCGAAAGAGTTGTTGCGAGGCGAAGATGCTGCAGCAAGCCACTGGCAATGTGGAGGAAGATATTTTGGAGGTGAAATGAACGGCGATTCCTCAACTTGGTCAAGGACTCCACTGGGCATCAGATTCGTTGGTGTAGACCTCAGAGCAGGATGTTCATGTTCATTCGAAGATAAGCCGACGTGCTGATGTAGCCGAGCCTTCAGTGTCTGCAGGTCCTGGCGGCAGTTCTAAAGAAGCTCTTAGAGCCGTTGTCACAGTCTTGGCGTGGAATTACACATCACGCCATTCTAAAGGGGCAGTGTAGTGTGCAAGGGGCCCTTTTTTTTTTCAGGTTCTGTGGATTGTTGAGACGGGGCGAGAGTGTACCACGTCCGCCGTATATAGTGAGCCAGGGCACAAGTGTCGACAGCTTATCGTAGAACTGGCGCATAAGTGCATAAGGTCGTTCGCATGAGAGAGCGAGCGCATCAAAAATCAGGAGCTCCAGCCCTTTCCTCCCCCTAAAAATGCCTGTGCAGGGCGTGGCAGGGCCACTTTTTCTGCAAAGGTGGCGAGGGTTTCTCAGTGGGCAGGTGGTCCATCCCAAGATTCCGGATGGTTCTCTCGGATGCTGTGCCTGAGGCCCGGCCCTGCGAGTCCCCTTGGGGAGGCGATCGCGGTTTTGCGGCAGGCCGCAAGGCCGCATTCCGTGCCGTGCACGCATTAGGGAGTGTAGGGAGGCAATTGCGCAGGGGAGGTAGCGTAGCGGCGTCGCAGTGGCAGTCTGGAGCCTTCCTGGATTTTTAATGCCATCAAAGAGTCAACGGACGAACTCGATTGATAGATCAGGAACACGCATAAGAGAAGAAGAAACTTGACTTACTGCATCGGCCGCATCACGACGACCGACAGCTGCAGACAATGGAAAGGACACCTGCTGAATCCTGCTGATTTGGGCAGGTATTGTGCTGCAATCGCTGGCGCTGCATCCACTTCTCTCGAGCGGGACCTAGACATGCACACCGCGTAAGACAGAATATCTTGAGTGAGATCGTACATCCAGATGCTTCGGCTCGTGCTTCAGACTTAAGGAGCTATCTTTACCAAGGCAAGTTCGTAACGCCTCATGCCAATTGGCCAGGGCAGTCTCTGCTACTTTCGGAAGTCCTTGAAGGGGCATGACGGGGCCAGTGTTGTGGTTTGAAGGTTGTTGGAACAGCCCTACAGCACTTGCGGAAGCAAGAGTTCTGACCGCACTGCGTGCTGCGCGCAGAGTTGACCTGCCACAATCCAGCGCACATTTTGCGGTTTTGGTTTTGGCTTGCGATTTGGCAAGCCGCATACGCAGGGGAGGTTGTCAAGGTAGTGCAAATGGTGCCAGGGAATCGCATGAACGTCGTAAGTAGCATCACTTGTCTGGGGACTGCCAAGTCGGGCAGCCTTGTGTGAAGTGAGAGTAGGCTCAATCTTGTGCTAGAGGGGCACAGACCCTTGTGATTTCCTCAGGCTTTGCGGCCTGCCGAGCAGACTCAGGGCCGCGCCTTCAGGGCATCCCATGGGGAAGTTCTTGTGCATACCGGCTAACGCGCTAAGTTCATCTGAGAGAGTTGTCCGGAGATTTGAAGTCCTGATCAGTGGTTCTCTCTAAAGGCTTGCGATCCACAACTCGCGGCCTTGTCTTCCCAGCGAGTGATAGCAGTGTCGCCGTGTCGCCTCTAGTCTCCCTTCCTGCAATGATCCAACATCGGCGCTCGGTGCTGTCCTTGTTGGTGGCCGCGGCCCTTCTGCCCGGCTCCGCGGGACAAGGTGGCGGAGGCGGCGGTGGCGGAGGAGGAGGCGGAGGTGGAGGAGGTGGAGGAGGTGGAGCCGGCGGCGCCGGTGGAGCAGGTGGAGGAGGAGGCGGAGGCGGAGGCGGGACAGCGTTGACGGAGCCGCACATCACCATCAATGCCGACGTGGAGTGCAGGACGAGCGTGACCGGCCCGCAGACCATCACCGGGTACATTTACTGCGACAACTACTTTGAGTTTTGGTTCAATGGAGTTCTCGTGAAGCAGGACCCGATGACCTTCACGCCGCACAACGCAGTTGCCGTCTCCTTCGAATGGGACGGTGTTTCCGACAAGGAATACGCGATTATGTGCATGGACTATGCTAGCAGCTCCGGGTACGAGTATGTCGAGACCTCGAACCCGGGACTTGGCGACGGGTCGCTCATGGCGGAGTTTTCGGATGGCACCGTGACTGGCGCTGCCTGGGATGTCTTCGTGCTG